TTGGAACAAAAATTCTTCATATCATTAATTTTAATATTATCAAATTACCATATTAACAATATTAATTAATAGATTAACTTTAATCTTAATCCGTAACTAATTTTATTTTTAATATCGTAGTAAAAATATCGGAGTTCTTTATGTGATTTAGAAAAAGTAATTCAATTCGAAATATTGTTCGAACATTTCTCTGATTCACTGTATGCTGTTTTTTTTTTTTTTTTTTTTTTTTTTTGGGATTATCGTGTTGACGTTTGATATTAATTTTATATACATATACCTAATGTATACACACGTATACGTACGAGAAATAAATTATGTACGAGAAATAAATACGTAGGAGAAATAAATTATGATGGTTATTCGAAACATAGTTTCTTTGAAAGCAATACTGGTTTTCTAGAAGAAAATCTTATGCTACGACGTACCAACATCGGGGACTGACATGAACTTTTCGTCCCTTCGTTTTAGCGAATTTCTTGAAGAAACAGCTAAAGAATCTGAATTGCGGTCGTTCCTTTTTTTTTCCATTTTCGTCTCGACGACTCTTTCATATTTTATTTCAAAGACACATACTTATAAGCTTTTTGAACAAGATACATGGAAAAGTATTTTTCCACGAAAAAACATTGCCTCTCTTACATCTTATAACTTCCATCGTCTTATGGACGACTTTGTCATAAGAATTTTCTATATTACAATACAATCTTCTATTCTTTATCCTTTAATAATTTATAAAATAACGTTTTGTTTTATTAATAACTCGTGAAAATGTTACTTTACCGAGTTTAAAATAATTTCGTCGGGAAGGTTGTTAAAACGTTGAAACGTCGTTAACATTCTATCCTTATTATTTTAGAAAATAAATTTCCCATTCGTTCTTACAATAATAAGATTTCATTAGGAAATACGTATAATGTAAAATACCTTCTCTTGTTATACAAGCTTCCTATTATAACGATATATCTGTGAGTAATAAAATGCCATTAAATATATGTACCTGGTACGTGAACATATTCATAAAAAAAAGAAAAAAAAAAAGAAAAAAAAGAAATCAATCTTGCGGGGAGAAAAAAAGAACAGCAAAAAAAAAAAAGAAAAAAGAAAAAAAGAAAGGGGAGAAAAAAAAAGGAAGAAAGAAAGAAGGTACACGTCGTACCGAGTTAAAGATTTTCTAAAGAATCGTCTATTCGGGATAGCTAGCTCTCTTGTAATTCTTTCGCTGGACGGTGATGCAGATAGATGGCTTCTAGATTTCGTCGGTGGCCAGACCATCGAATGCATGGACCGAAAAGAGAGAAAAAAGGCTGAAAAAACTTTGAGAGAGAGAGAGAGAGAGCGAAAAAGATGCGGAGAAGCGAAGAAGCTTCATGGCTTGGCAAAGCATGAAGAGGAGAGAAAAGAAAGAATGAGAGAGAAAGAGAGAGAGAGAGAGAGAGAGAGAGAAAGTGGCGGGGAAAGGAGGGAAGGGAGGTTTGCGGCGATCGGAGACAGGACGAAGAGGATTTTCTCCTTTTCTAACGCGAATAACTTCGATCTATCCCCTGGATCACCTCCGACTGGCTTTCCTGCCTCGATCCTTTTGGTAAGCGTTCCCTCTTCCTCTCTCTCTCTCTCTCTCTCTCTTTCTCTCTCTCTCTCTCTATATATATATATATATCTCTCTCTCTCTTTTACTCCCTCAATCCCTCCCATTCCCGTTAAAAGTAGGAGAGAGATAGAGTGTCCTGAAGAGCCGCATACCGATCAATGTCACACCACCGTTTGCTTGTGTTCACAGTCTTACATTTCCTGTCTACCTATCGTCGTCCTGCTGAAGTATCAAACACCTGTGCTTTCAGGAAACAGATCGGATCTACGAGAGGCTCTGCTCTTTCCCTCTCCTCCGTATTGAGTTTACGATAGCTGATCTATTATTCGATAGATGGATATTTTGTCAAAAGATGATTTAGATTCGTTATGTGTTTTCAACACATACATATTATTTTTTACATATATGTACGTTTGACTTTCATCTTCAGTATTATGCGAATTTAATTCTTATTTACGTCTATCTAAGCTCATTGAAATTTTCTGTTCATTGAGAAAGAATCGATGTTGTAATTAATGTTCGAACATTAATGAAATTCTGTTTTTTTTCTTTTTTTTTTTTTTCCATTTTCGATATCATGTAATTAATTTTCGTCATCGCAAGGATTAAACTCCTCAACATCTTATGGCTCGTGGAAAAAGGAGTAACAGTACGACTATTCTAAACGAATTTTCTCTTTTCATCCTCTTTTTGTATTCTTTTCTTTTTCCTTTTCTTTCTTTCTTTCTTTTTTTATTTTTTTTTTTTTTTTCTTTTTTTTTTGTTTTGTTTCCGAAGCTCGGCTCATATTCTCCGGCATCCATTAAAGTCAGTTGTGAAGTTTGCAAAAGATTAATGAGTTAGTAATGGAGTTTGTAGCTTTGTTGCGGAATGGTTACAAATATTGATCTCTCTTTCTTTTCAGTGAAAGAGCTTGATGAAGAAAAAGGAGCCGGGAACTTTGAGAGTAAAAGTAATGTGCGCGGATAAGTAGTATTTTTTTTTTTTTTTTTTTTTTTATTTGTTTCTCTTTTCTCCCTGTTTTTCTTTTCGTTTTTGTCTTTTCTTTATCTATTAAAAAACGACGAGTCTAAAGTTTAGCTTAAAAAAATTATTTTTGACATATCTTATACGTGTATTAATATCAACATGGATAAGACGATCGTATGTTCCTTGACATCAAATACCGTTTTATGCATACTATTGAAATTTATTTATTTCTTTGTCGATCATAACTTAAACCCTGTCATTAATATTACATTTTTTATCCTTTCCCCTCTTTCAAATTGGTATGAGTAATAACGCGCATTTCGCAATATTGCGGTGCGAAGTGAGTATCTAATTGCTCTTAGATCGTTATGCAGATGAGTTCGAAACTGGATTCTGTTTTTCATCGATGCAGCCGATATTACGAAATAGTAGAAGCATCTGAGTAAATCGAAATATACGTTCCTGAGAGGGTAGGGGTAACGAACTTGGGCAAGATGTTAGTGAATTTGCCAGTTCCATAGCCCGGGGTTGTAAGAGTTAGAGAGAGAGAGAGAGAAAGAGAGAGAGAGAGAGAGAGAGAGAGAGAGACAGTAGGAGTAGAAGATGATAGAGAACTGCTATACGGTGATTAAATTTCCGCGTTGCACCCTTCGCGAAGGGTTGTTTCATAGGAAATTTAAACAAGACCTTAACAAACGGTTTCTCTCATCGTTCTCGAAATCGCCATATACGCGATCCTCATACTTTACATCTTGTCTCTTATTTCTTTATCCTCGAGTTCCACTGACTTTTCAACTTTCTTATTTTACGAGGCTGATCCAAGAATTTGGAAAAGTTTCATTGGATAAGAAAAGAACGAAATAAGAAAAGAGTTAATACTTCGTAGTACTCGACGTACAAGATGTTTGGTTTGATACGATTTAGTGAATTCCTACGTCAGGAATCTTTCAATTATATCAAATAAACTAATGTTAATAATAATTTAATGTTAATTGTAAATGAAAAAGGATCGAGAATCATTAAATGATTCATTGATTTCGTTTCGATACGATACGGTGTATTTAACGGAACGTGTACATTATGTTGAGAAGAGTTTTTAATTTTATCGAGAAAAAAGTAAAAAAAAAAAAAAAAAAAGAAAAGAAAAGAAGAAGAAAAAACGTTGAAAGTACGTCGAAAATTATTTAGTCGTTAATCAAACGTTTAACTTCTTACGCTTTATACAAAATCATTGTCGATCGAAATATATCGAAAAATAATAACGCGTTGTATTTCCCGAAGGAAACGATACGATTTCATCTTCTGTACCGCTGAGATTTTCATCATCAGCTGTCGATCTTTTTTCCTTTGACATCTCTGATTCCGTTTCATCCTTCTTCTTCGTGCTCGTTTCATTTCTCATCTCGATCCAATAATATTTTACCAGTGCACGTTGGAAAACTTTACTGCGTGGAAATATCGTCGGCATCTAAGTCTGCGATAAACTCATTCCCATGGTAGCGATGCCATTGCTCACCGGTAGTTAATTATTGTGGATTAAAACGCTACGAAACTTTGTCGTCAGAGAACGAGTCTGTTTTCGTTGAAAAAGTTTAATACCCATACCCCATACCGACGTTGAGAAGTTTATTTTTATCGTGTTATTTATAATTCCTTTTTGCACGAGCAAATTAAAGTTATAGATTTGTAGGATAAGACGTTAATATTCTCTATCGCTTTTCTCATTTGCGATTTATTCTTCGTTATAACGGAAATTATTTTCTATACTCGATAATTAAGTGAGATAACAAAAGATTATAATAAGAAAAAAAAAAAAAAAATAAAAAAAATAAAAAAAAAGAAAGAAAAAAAATAAACATCTATATATACAACTAGTAGATTATTAATCCATCTATAAAAGTACCTAGTATTATGTCAGACAATAGATCAATATCTCTGACAGTAACAATCAACAATTTATAAAATTAATATCGATCTATAATGTTAAATAGTTATTACTTACCTGCTAATATTTCTTCATGTAGAATTCTTGATGTTATCTATTTATAGTATTTAGTGCTAGTATAATAATGGAATCAAAATAGATCGATAGTTGTTGTCATTTGCGTTTCGATCGCTTAATAAATCATGCTTAATTAAATTTACAAAGCAACGTTGTAATTCATTATTTGTAGATGATCGATTTTTCATCCATCAAATTAACTGAAAAAGATGCGTTTATAAAATCTATGCGAAGTGAGAGCGAAAGCGATCATTAATTTATCATATCTCGTTTAAATTACTTAACCCGCGAGGTGTACGAAAGGAAAAAAAGATACAAAAAAAAAAAAAAAAGAAAAAAAAGAAAAAAAGAATAACAAAACAGAAAAAAAGACGAAATTGAATACATAATAATAAATCGTTAAACAGGCCAAGAAAAAATAAAAATGAGCTACAGACATGCATCTTTGTACATCCGTTTATTATCATCATAGTCGTACTTTGACACTGGTTATTTAAGAAAGATAATGTCTAGCCTCTTCGTTATTTCTTATCTGCCCTTTTTCTGCTCTTTTTTGTTAGTTCGTTTGTTTGTTTGTTTGTTTATTTGTTTGTTTGTTTGTTTGTTTGTTTGTTTGTTTGTTTGTTTGTTTGTTTGTTTGTTTGTTAAGATATTTTGGCGATTTGCCAAACCTCCAGAATTAAGTTCGGAAGCAAGATTTCAGTACACTCGATGCTGTCACCGCCGATAATGGTTTCGTATTTAAGCTCACTCTCTCTTTCTCTCTCTCTCTCTTTCTCTTTCTCTTTCTCTTTCTTACCCTCTCTCATGCTCTCTCGCATTCCTACATAAGTATTTATAGTCAAACACGCAAGTATACTCTTTTCTATCTTTCTCTCCTTCTCTCTCTCTATCTCTCTCTCCCTCACACACACACTCACACATACACACACAAACACGCACACTCTCGACTTCGTTCATGCAGCGCTCGATAAAAGTTCTTTCGAGCAACTCTCTCCCTCTCCCTCCCTTTCTCTCTCTCTCTCTCTCTCTCTCTCTCTTTCTCTCTCTCTTTCTTTTTCTAAGCACTCGCCCTCGTTCCATTATACGAAGCACATTTCGCCACCGTAGTTTTCTTTTTTGTTGACCGCCATCACCGTCCATCTTCAAACTACCACGCCTATCACCCTCTATTTCGCGCTTCGAACCTTATTGCCTTCTTTTTCTTTTTTTTTTCTTTTTATTTTTTTGTTTTTTTTTCTTTTTCTTTTTTTTTTTTCCTCTTTTGCACTCACTTGCGTTCTCACAAGGAGTCCATTTTCCTCGGTGCACCACAAAGGAAGTCGAGCTTGTAACCCGAGCGACACACTCCCTTCGTCATATGATTATTGTCACTTTCTCTGTCGCTTGACGCGTTCGGTTTTCAGCGTCGCGCCGTCACGAACGTCATCGTAGTTTCTCGTCGAGAAACGAGACAGGACGTAAGTGTTCGGTGTATATTGTTTTACACGCGTGCGCATACACGTACCGTATACGCAGCTCGTTCTCTTTTATTCTCTTTCTCTCCCTTTCTCTCTCTCTCTCTCTCTCTCTCTCTCTCTCTTTTTTCACTTTTTTACGACTTCTTCCGTAAAATGTGCATAGACAATTAGTATTCTACTTGTTCTCGACATATGTAACTCGTACGAACTATATCCTTCTATGTCGTTCGAGTATCTATGAATCGGTTATCAGGATTATCGAGTATCGATGAGTTAAGCCTGAAACCGTCGAGGCTTTTCACTGTTAATATCGGTTCGAGCGTTCTCTCAAAGTTGTATCCTTGATACATCGTCCTTCCTTGCTCGCCGTAAAACGTTTCGACTTTTTTTTTAGTATCGCGTTGGGATCGCAAAAAGGATCGAACAAGAAGTGTTCGCCCAAATAAGGTCCTAGATTCGTTCGATCGAAAATCTTATACGTTTTTGAAAACGGAGCTAGTAATGAAACACCAAGTTATCCTTGTTCTTTGAGAGACGACGAATATTAAAGTTTATAAATCGTTCGAGTTTCACGATATCGATACCGAGGCATGTATGAAATTATTTGAGAATCTTCCTGAGGTATTCGGCGAGAATAACTTTCCTCGATCTTTCGAGTATCGATTCTCGCGTCCTCTCTTGTTGTTCCTCGAGTCGCCTGTCTCTTTCAAAGAGCCTGGCGCACTCCGATTCTGGTCACCAAAGTTCCGTGCTAGCTGTTAACGTATGAACTTCGATGTTCTCGTGACGATGGTATCTGTCTCTTCGACGTACAGTAGCACGTCTGGACAAAACGACCGTCAAAGCTGCAGCCGCACCTAAGGCTGCTCCAACGAGAACCAACATTCCGGGATGTGCGCCAGATAATTGTTCGGACAATCGAGTACCAGAATCGGTCGCACGTCCGTTCAATTCCTCGGCTATCGTATTCGATACGATACCATTAGTCAATACATATTTTTCTTTGGTTAGGTTGTTCTCTCTCGTCAGGTACTTATCCGACATCGTCGTCTTTTCCTCATTTCGAGAAAATTCATTCAAAAACTTGGATGTCTTCAACGAAGGAGATAATTCTTTACCACCGCCATTCATTAAAAACTTTTTCAACTTATCGCTCTTCTCCGGTTTTCCTTTTGCCGAGATGTTGATACTGATAGGAGAGGATGCACCTTTCTCATCCGTTTTCATATCGATCATCAGCTTCCCTTTGACTTTGCGCCGTAAATTTTGAACGTTTGCCTCCTTTCTTCTTAAATCCGTTCCTTTCAACGTCGGGGAAGTTATATTTCTAAAGGAAGTCGGTGCCTCGTAAACGCGGGGCACGTTCGTCGTTCTTATCGTTGAATTTTCCACAGATATGCCGTCCATTTCGTTCATAGAATTGGAAACTTCGCCAGTCGTCGTTTTTCCTAAATTCGAATAATTAGTAAACTCTTCGTTCGTTTCCAGGGTCGACTCGGTGAAATTCGTGAGTCCATTGATAATGTCATTGGAGGAAGATGTAAACGATCCGAGCGTTTCATTCAAAGATCGATCGATTTCGAGAGATATGATCGATGGGATCGATTTAATGGTCGATATTATCGTCGAAAGTGTTACAGGTGGCGATGGTAGATCGCGTAAATAAGTTCCCAATAATTCCTCGGGAGTTGCGCATTGAGAGAGTTCGAGATTATGCGTTTGCTCTTTGTGCTCTCTTAACCATTGTCCTAACCAATAGAGATCCTCGGTGCAACTCCAATCGTTTCCAATGAGTCGTAAAACACGTAGTTGCGGGAGCAAATACGGCAAGTCCGATCTAAGGGCCGTGAGATTTGTCTGGGAAAGGTTTAATTCGAGGAGACTTTTGCAAGCGGAGAGAGCAGCATCGTCCGTCAATAACTGTCTCGCCAGAACGGGACTTCGTTGAACGTCGAGAACAATAAGCCGTTCCGGTGTCTGTACAGGAAACGCCATGTCACCTTGTTGTTGGGATTTCTCCTGAAGTGACGTTAATCCAGACATACGAAGCTTGGCAAGATTACTCGGTCCACTCAAAGCATTAACGGTTAATGCCTTGATAGGATTATCGGACAAATCGAGTTCCTTTAGCGCGAATAGTTGACTGAATGATCCAACTTCGATTTGCCCGATATCATTGTTGTTTAACATGAGAGATCTCAAATTACGAAGTTCCTGAAAATCGTTTGCTTTCAAAATGGTTATGCCATTTCGCCGAAGATTCAGAACGGTTAAACTACTGGGAAGACTTCCGGGAGTTTTGGTCAAAAGATTTCCAGAGACGTCGAGTTCCTCGAGCACTTCCAACCGTCCTAAAGCGTCGTCCTCGATTTCGGTAAGACGATTATCGGAAATGTCCAACATTCGTAAGAGAGGATAACTGTCGAGATCACCGCCTCTGATGGTGGTCAACTTATTGCCGGCGAGACGTAACGCTCGAACAGATCTGGTGAGAGCTGCCGGGACTCTTGCAAGACCTGTACGGGATGCGTCCACCGTTTCTAATCTCCTTCCGGTGCCGAGCAACAAAGAAACGTCTTTCTCCTCCAGAGGATTCTCCGCTAATCTTAGAACCGATAGCCCTGGTAAAGGTTGAAGAGTCCCCGAAGCGGCCTTCGCCAAGCCGTTCCTTGAGACATCGAGTTCTCGAAGTTTATCGAGACTCTCGAACCATCTCGCGCCGAGCACTTGAAGCTGGTTACCGCTGAGATCTAACTTTTGAAGAGAGTATAGAGGCGTCAATGCGCTATCCGGTAAGTCTGCCAGCCTATTATCCGACAAATCAAGAAACTCGAGACGATCCAAGCCGCGAAACGCGTCCTCGTGCACCATCGCGATCTCGTTGCGTCGTAAATGCAAGCGCGCCAGTTCACTCAGCGTCCTAAAAACGCCGACGTTCACGTCCTTCAGGAAATTATTCGACAGATCGAGACACGTCAAACCGATGAGGCTCGACACTCGCGCGTCACTCAAGTGCGTTACCTCGTTGTACGATAGATTCAACAATCGTAACCTTTCGAAACCATGCCACGAGACGTTCAAGGACGTCAACGAACAGTTCGTCATTGTCAATTCGTCCAAATAGGGAAGCGCCGTCTCGATAGTGGCGCTTCGGCTTTCGTTCGTCGACGAGGACGTCGTATTTGACTCGAGATCGGTCGATGTTTCGAGCTCGGTCAGAAAACTTGTTACCTCGTGTTCTTCCGCTTCTTCGACGGACAATCTCCTCGTATTATCGGGTACCTCGGATAATTCCGGCACGCGACCACGACACGTAACATCCGCGAAGAGCGGCGAATCCCTGTCGACGATGACACCTTGTTGACAGACGCAGAGATCGGGACAGGCGGAACCGCTCGCCATCAAGGCGAGCAATATGAATGGAAGCCACATCGCTTCCAACGACGGCGACTTCACATCTCGACGCTCATCCGTTTCTATCCACTCTCGACGTTTCCGGCGAAGACGACGACGACAATTACAACGACGACGTAACAACGGAGAAACGTCGTCGCCTTGACGATACCCGCTGAAAACATCTACGAAATAGTCCACTTAAACGAACTACGAACCACTATTTGTATTATTATTCTTCGATAATCAGATACGCGTTCGAACGATCTACGATCTATGTATATCGGTCGTTCGAGTCGAACGTGATGTCCATACGAAGGACTGCCAAACACTGCGGCGACGAACTCGCAGCTGCACTCGCTTCGCTTCTACCATCCCTCTTTTACCCCCCCAAACTCCGATTTACCCCTACCCCCAGACACATTCCATCCCTATCTTCCGTTTTCCACGGGCGTCTCTCTTTCTCTTACTCTCTTACCTTCCTCCTCGCTCCTCACTCCACCACCTGCAACCCTCTCTCCACCCTTCCATCGTATCTTCCCTCTCGTACCTACCATACACCTACTTCCACTTCCATACCAACCACCACCAGCCGTCGCTTTTGCTCTCGAACTCGATAAGGGGTGCGCGCGCGCGCGCACTCGCGTCCACCTACAACGTACTGACGCCGACTGATACACGGAGAGGGGTGAAACGCCGAAAGAGTAACGGAGAAAGAGAGCTAGGAGTTAGCATCAAAGGTGGGAGGAAGAGAGTCGGTAGGAAGGGAGAATCGGTACCGTGTGATTTCACGAACTACCGCCGCTGCCATCCGGCTGGCTGGCTGGATGACTGCTTGGCTCGATGGTTCTCTTCCTTGGATGCTTGCTTTCTACCGCGCAGAACTCCTCTCTTCAATTTCTTTAACTCGATTCGCCTGCTACGATTGCGATCGAGCGAAAAGAGTTCCCAATGACGCACCGTTTTAACGCCGATCCGTGTCGGTCTCCTTTCGTGTATGTTCTCTGGGTTTCGAAGATCGAGATCTTCGATTTTATATATATATATATATATATATATATATATATATATATACACACACACCCTTCTTCCATCCTTTTTCTTCCTTTTATCTTTCTTTCAAGTTCGCGAAGCAACGAGAGATCGTACGTTTGTATTGGATCGAAGTTCAAAGGGACGGATCCGAATTTACGTAAATAGTTCTAGTCACTTGGGATCGGTATTATAAGCGTAAAGTCAAAACTAAACCTTCCACAGCCCGAATCGAATTCTAGAATCTCTCCTTTGAACGAGGAAATGCAGACACATCCTGTTTTCTATGGGATACGATCTGGTAAGGTGTGTTTTGGTTTGGATCCTCTTGATATCGATCGTTCGATCGTTCAAACGTTTCTAATCTGATCGTTTAAGTTCCATATATGAAGGAAAGAAAATTCTCTAGAAAAAAATTTCTTCGATATCGAAAATTATAATTCTCGTTTTTATGCTTTTTTGGTAACAATATTAACGATCAATTCCGTAGCAACTGTGAAACAGCAACTAAGCGATATCATTTGACGATCAAATGGCTATAAAATCAAAACTGACTTGCGAATTAAACTTAATTAGATACTATACCGAGAACATTTTACTGGCCATCAAGCTAGTTAGAAAATTGATCGATCGAAAATCCCGTGATGTTTCGCGTTCTCTTTTGCGATTGAAAAACGGACAGGTTTATATCGATGTCATTTTCAATGACGTTTAATAATTAGTTTGCGAGCTCGTAGCAGTAAAGCGGGCATCAATATACTCGCATGAAAAGACGAATAAAATGTTCGTTTTATTTTTCGAGAGAACGTTAATAACTTTTGACTATAATTAAACGACACCCTTTTATGATATTAATAACGTATAGCAGTGTTTCTTTTTTTTTACGTCGTTTTCATCGACCTCTCTCTCTCTCTCTCTCTCTCTCTCTCTCTCTCTCTCTCTCTTTACGAACGTACCTACCGTAGTTTAATTCCGAACCGTGTCTCGCTAAGGTTTCATTCTGGATTTCGCTCGAGCACCGACATGTAAATGGTCGGAATAGTGTGCTCGTGCCCGACGTTTCTAATAAGAGAGCACCGTGTATTGTATATATATGTAGAAGAGACGCGCATGTCCAAAGAACGTTCGTACAGGGTGCTTTCAAAGTTTATAAAGAAGCGTGGGAATAATGTTCAAGTTTATACGTCCAGTGAAGAACGTTCTCGCGAAAAATCATTCGACGGTAAACGACAACGTGACAGTATTGGTAAACTCGTTCGAAACGGTAGTGTATTTGTGTGAAAACCTCGATACGATATCGTTCTAGCGACTTCGTGTTCGCATAAAGTGAACACGCAAAGTTCCCTTGTTGCTTACATTTGTGGGGCCAAATGTTTTTGCTTTTAAAATTCGATTCAAAGCTTTTTCCACGTAATCGAACAGAGCGTTCGTGCTTTTTTGCGAATTGAAATATCGACAAACATTGAACATCGATGAATAAGAACGTATTCATTGATGTTGCTATGAAATAATAAATACATTTATTTTATTTTATTTTATTTTATTTTATTTATTTGTGATAATAATAAAGTAAAAGTATATATCGTATAATGCTTTTGAAAAAAAAAGTATTCCTAATACGTTAGTAACTCGATTGAAGTTCATACGATCTTTGGTTTAATCCTTCTCATCTCGAAACACCTTACGCGCTCCTGTGCAGGTTTATATATATATATATATATATATATATATATATATATATATAATATAATATATATATATATAGGACTTTCTTGGAAGCAGAATGCCTCAGAGGCCCATAAATTAGTTTCTCAGCATCTCTAATCCATTGGGAATTACTGCATCACTTGCTCCTGCTCTTACGAAACGGTCGAACGTGATCTTGGAGCGACCTATATTTACTCTATCTATATATCTCCTTACTATCTCATATAAACGATTTTTACGAATTTAATATCTTGATGAAGTGTCGCACGTTAAAAACTAAGAGATCATTTCTGTGATCTATCGAATTCTTTGTTGTTACTCTTGAAACTGGTTAATGACATTGCAAGAATTAAGTATCTAATAAATCTAAAAACGTATCTATATAAATCTAAAATAATGTTTCTTAAATGATTAAAATCTTTATCGTAGTTCAATAGACATATTAAATGTTTTAGAAAATAATCTAATATCTAAACTTATCATATTTTTATAAAATTTTACGAATTCATATCTGTTATACGTATAAACTACCTTATGGCGCTTTTCAATTATATACCGCAAACAAAGCTATATTATCGTAGAATTTGTAAATAGTTTAGTAAACTTTGCATTAGCATGAATTATTATAGTCTTGCTGTGTTTTCTTTCACCGATCCGTCGTTACGTACGGACGTAAAATAATTATTAATGATCGCGTTAATAATAGACTTCATGCGATACAATGGTCACCGGTATAAATCATTCATGTATTTTCTATATATCGATGATTTGAATTTTTCTTTATGGCGATACGCCAAGGCACGCAATTCATACGGGTGATCAAGTGCTTTGTAAAAGCATTTGAGAAATTTCTTTTTTTTAACCAATAATTGCGCTATAATGGTTTACCCGATTGCCGATTTTGAATGATCGCGTACAAATGATTGACCTTTGAGAAAATTATAAATTATGAATGTATCGTAAGAAAAATATTATCATTAATGGATTTAAATCTCGATCGTTAGAGATAATAAATTAAACCTCGACAAAAAATATATATCTATTACATTAAAAAAAAAAAAAAAAAAAAAAAATTAATAGTTTAGATATACATACGAATGTAAATTACGATTATACGTATGTTTTATTTAAATTTCTTGGATTTTCGTAATAATGTGCATTAAACGATCGCGATATCGTGCAATTTTAAATTCTAATACGATTTTTCTTCGTAACGTTTTAACATTTTGTTATCAGTCTACGTACACTAATTAGAATTTCAACGTGAAACCAAGCTAGGGAATTAAACTTCTCCAACCAGTCGTGGTCATTTTCTTTCACGATAAAAGGGAGAAAAAAAAAAGAGAACGAAACAAAAAGGAAACGGGTAGGACGGGAAAAAAGAAAAAGAAAGTTAAACGTAACATGTTCGGCGAAGTCGAAATATTTTCGGAATGGAAGTAAAGAGGAAGCGACCGTTAACCGTCGTAACGAAAACCCTTCTTTCGTGCCTTGCGGTGTCGTTCGACGTGTAATTTCATCGAAACGAAGGGTAAAATCCTTGCGAGTACTGGCCCGCTTGCGTTGGTTACAAAGTTACTTTTACGAGAGCAGTAGGCAAATGTAAATGGTGTGGGCGTGAGGAAAGGAAGGAAGGGCGGGCACAGAAACGGGAGTTACTGGTAAAAGAGAGAGAGAAAGAGAGAGAGAGAGAGAGAGAGAGAGAGAGAGAAAGAAAGAGAGAGAGAGAGAGAAAGGAAGAGAGAGGAAGTAAGTATATTCTTTGTCTTTCTTTCTCGAAGAAGATCTTCTTCGTTGAGAAAGGTACGAAGGAAGAGAAAGAGGAGAAGATGTAGAAGGAGGAGGAAGAGGAGGAGAAAGAGAAAGAGAAAGAGAAGGGGAACAAAGAAGGCGTAAAGAAGAAGGGAGGTTTGAGATAGTGTGAGAAGGAGAATAGGAAGTAAAGGGGATGAGACTGTCGGAGTTTGTAATTGCTGCGGCTTTAACGCGCTGGTGATGGCCGATGGCACCCGGGACTGGGGTAATGGTCTGCACCAAATGTCTCTTCTTGCGAGAAGAGCGCGAGGAAGATCGAGAAAGCCGTCGTGAAAACCAAGCGGAGACAAGGAGAAGAGCATTCGGTACGACAGCCGTCGTGGAGGAGGTCTTGGAATAGAGAGAAACAGAGAAAAAGGGAGGAAAAGAGAGACAGAGAGACAGAGAGATAGAGAGAGAAGGAGAGAAAGAGAAACGAAGAGTGACATGAAGAGTGGTGAGAAGGATAAAGAGAGGGAGAGAATTGGAGAGTATACGAGGCGTCGTTCTTCTCTCCCTAGCACGGCCACCATCGTCTTGACGTTCCTTTTCCCCCTTCGTCTTCTTGCCGTCGGCAAACCCGCAGCTGCTGGCATCAAGCTTGGCTTTCTTTTTCTTTGCCTCTTCTCGCTTGATCTTCAATCAGTGTATCGGCCATTGAGTGCACAACAAGCCACTCGTATAACAAATATTTTAATCCGAGAGTGATTTGTATTTTGAGAGGGTGAGCTTCCATCTTTTCTCTCTCTCTCTCTCTCTCTCTCTCTCTCTCTCTCTCTGTCTTTTTCTATCTATTTATCTCTATCTCTCTCTCTCTCTCTCACCCTTTTTTTGTCTCTAATTATAAAGAAATATCGATTGAACAATACCGAATTTTTCTGTTCTTAAGACATTTTTATCTAGTTATTAAATAGAACGAAAAGATTGAATAAACTTCATTAATATTTGTCTCAAACAATAAAGAGAATTTTCTTAATTAAGAACGAGATAAGATTCGAACGCGATACCTTTAATTTGATTGCAAGAAGAATAAGATTCCTCTAAGTTTCCAAAGGCACGATGTGACGTTTGACTAAGAAAGTTCTACGAGTGAATGCCAACGTCGGTAGACCAATTTACAAAACAATCTGCATTTCGTTGGGCAACATAGTCCGGGTCCTTAACGCGTCTAATTTATCTCAATCTGTTTCTCTTGGTTTCTTTTTCCTGTTGAAATCGTTTTACGAGAAGGATACGCGTGAGTTCGAAAAAAACATGGGGCGCGGTTTTCATAGAGAGAGAGAGAGAGAGAGAGAGAGAAAGAAGAGGGAATAAAGAAAAAGAGATAGGAAAAGAAGGAAAAATACGAAGAAGAAAAAGAAGAAGAAGAAGAAGAAGAAGAAAAGAGACAACCGGTGACCTCATAAACTTCGATCGACTCGTAAAGCATACCTTTTTCTTCTTACCGTTTTTCTCATTTTTACGATTTTTATTACGTGACTTGTAAAGTTTGAGACGAGAAAGGGATCGAGCGGGAGGTTTGCTTATTGAGGAAGAAGCCGTTGACAAACGCGAACAGCTTGTATTTTCTACCCCGTGAAAATAGATACGTTCTTCGTGTATACGTTTTTTCTTCAAAGAACGATTTCTTCGACGTTACACGTATGTACGTGCATAGATATAATTTTTTTTTTCTGTGCCTTATGTTTAGATTTGCAACAATTTAACTTTTATTAACCATTAAAGTAGATCGTCTCGCATTTTGTTATACTATTTATTTATATTTCACGTTAGCTCTTCATTTTAAATGAAAAAGAGAAAAAATTGATTTATTGGTTCGAACAATTTTGATAATGATCAGATGATCATTTCAATGTCCCCATCGAAATCTTCATATTTTATCAGTTTACTAGAGTAAAATATAAATTCATTCTACGCGAATGCGTATAGGTCGAGAGAGTATCGATCGATTTGCTCGACGAAGCACAATGATATACCATCTATAGTTCTCGTCTCATCGAACTTGATACATTTTATGATGAGGCTCATAATCTTCCAGTGGCAACACGCTAGAATCCCTTTGAACTTTGATTTCCAAGCAGTAATATAATTTATCATTATATAATACAGAGAGGAACAATACCGATCGGATCGATATCTATGAGATACAATGAAATTCCGTTTATTCTATTAATTGCCGTAACTATAAAGAATATAATTTAAATATAATTTGCATTAAATTTAATCAAATTCTTTAACTTAAATTCGATTGATAAGTCCAAACAAAATTTTTATTTCGTTGTATTCTATTTTCACTAGAAAACTCACTTATGTACTTTTATACTTATATAAATACCTTTGACCTTATAATACTTATATGAGTATAATACGTATTTATATACCTACTTGTACGCGTATGATATATATATATATATATATATATATATATATATATATATATGTCT